TTTGGTTTCTCACCTATTCTTTTTCTTAACATTGATTAATTTTTCCAGCTGGCTGTTGTACTTGATAGCTTACAAGGAGCTACAGAAACATATGAAAACATTTTCCAAGACCAAATTTGGGACTTTGTATATTAATTGTGGACTGCCACAATGCTACTTTGATATCTCATGTCCAACCTCCGTCAATGACTTTTCCAGTCCCATTTGCTCAACTTATAAGTCACAACAAGATTTCATTTTTTATTATGCCCATTGTTGCAATGAGGCTAGTCTCTGAAAATAAAGCTGTGTTCATTCTACTTCATATTTCATCACTGACAATAAAGATTCTGGAATTGCACAGTAGCTTGCCATTCTAGGTGATGATGCATGAGGCATAACTGAATACAGTTCTCCCTTCTGCAACTATATTGGCTCTGCAGGGCTGACAGTTGTACTATTGTTTGTGGGGTCAGTGAACCAAGCACATATGACTCAGGGATAAACTTGGGCACAAGCTTGCATGGCAGGGTGGAGGTAGAGGTAGGGGCAGTGTGTAGGCACAATGGGAGTTTGGGAGGGGTTATTCCTCAGAAAGCACAAGTGTTTCCCATACAGGTCAACAAGCTGCACCACCCCACTGCCTGTTTCATGGGGAGGTGCTATGGCTACGGGTGAGTCACCACCTTCCTTGCTCTTTGCAGAGCACAAGAACTGTGGTTGTCCCTTGTCTTTGTGCAAAGTATGTACGGAGGTGAAGTCACTTTGCCACCTTTCCACCCTATGGCGATGCGCCTATGCTAGGGCCAAGGATGGTCTGTCCCATGTTTTTCCATAAGAGAGTGCCATTTGAACAAAGTTACTCTTTGAAAATGTGTGTGCTGTAGGAGGGAGCAAGATACATACTGTCACTTCCAGAACACACGTGGCATACATATTAATTCCGCATTGTTGCATATGGTAATTTATGCAATATTCATTACACTTGAGACATGTACAAGATTGTTTAAAGAAATAAGTGCTAAGAAAACCCTGCAGCAGATTACTGTCTCACAAAGTCACTCTACTGACCACAGCAACATGTTAAGATATGTAAGGCAGTCGTGTGTAACAAGCATAATCTGCTAGTAATGACTGTAGCGTAGAGTGAGGTATTTGGAATGCTGGTGATGGTATGTATTCAGTGGATATGGGCTAAAAAAGTGGCTTGGTTTTGGTTTTTAGAAAAAACAAACACAGAACTATGGTTAGTTCAGCCCTCTCCCCCCCCGGAAATAATCAGAATCCAAGAGGAATCAGGTAAAAGTTGTGGGTGTTGTCCCAGCTCTGTACTGAATGACCTGGGATGGTTTGGATTGTGGGTCAACCTGTTTGGTAGACCTGATCATTTAGCATGCCATTTGTTTCACACACACATCAGATATTTGCATGTGCAAATAGCTACCGGTAGTTAGGTGTCTCTGTAGCCATGTGTGTATGTAAATGCCCAATTTGCAGGAATTGTAGCAATTATTATTATTACATCTTTCTCAAGCCAATGTTGATGCGTTAGCGCTATCATTAGCTGCTGCTTCCATCTGCTCTGTGATGTTGAGTTTGACTGTTCCACCCTCCCTTCTAAAGGTTCTTAAGGTTTTCCTTGGGCTCCCTCATTTCCTCACTCCTGTTGGTTTTCACTTGACAGCTACATGTGAGAGTGAATTTGTGTGTTGGCATCCAGAGCCCATGCCTCAGATACGTCAAGCACTTCCTTTTGATTCTAGTGGAAACAAGCTGCTGGTTGGTGTTTTCTCAGAGCTCTTTTTTGGTGATAAAGTCTCTGTCCAATGCCCAGAATCTTTCATGGGCACTTATTTTCAAAGTTTTCTATCTAACGTTTAAATAGCTCTCTAGTTCTTACGGCCACATACTAGCACTAAGATTACATTGGCATTGAAGAAATTCTCAGTTTTGTTTTGTTACTGTATATCTTTGAGTTCCATGGTTGAGTTTAGTGAATGCTATGGATGCCTTTCCTATCCTTGAGGTCTCTGTTGACTAATATGGGGCTGCCCAGGTAAATGAACAGTTCTACTTTTTTTATATCTTTACCTTCTAATATCATGCTATTTTTGACATATAGGTTTCAGGGATGTTTGTTTTGGCGTAACTGATTTTGGGCCCTTTTTGGCCTGCTGTTTTTGCCAAGGTGTCTGTTTTGTTTGTAGTTTTTTCGGGGTGTTGCTCAACAGCACGATATCATAGCAAAGTCTAGGTCTTCTAGGCATTTCCCAACTACCCATACTATGCCAGTATTTGTGTTGCTAATACACTTCTTCATTATCCAGTCTATGGCAGTGTCAAACAACTGTAGGGATAGAATGCAGCCTTGTTTAATTCCAGTGTCCACATTGAATCACTTTGATGTCTTGTTGTTCACTCTTACAGCTCACTTTGCATTGCTGTACATAGACTTGATGATGATGATGATGAAGACTTCAGCTGGAATTCCATGAGATTGTGGAGTATTCCACAATATATGCTTATGCAGGCAGTCAAATGCCTTTTGAAAATCCATGACATTGATAATGAGGGAAGCCTGCCATTCTACACATTCTTCTATGATGATCTTTACTGTGAATATCTGATCTACGCAGGATCTCTTGAGCCTGAATCCAGCCTGTCCCCAGGCGTTGCATCCACTGCCTCTCTCATTCTATGTAGTATCACACTACAGACGACTTTCACTACAACCAAGAATAGTGTGACACCTCTCCAGTTGCTGCAATTAGTAAGATGACCCTTTTTGGGTATTCTGACATTTATTCCAGGTGTTCATAGGTTAGGTTGGGGTCTCTCTTTCCCAGACTTCATTGAACAGCTCTGCCAGTTTCATTAGGATGGTAGTGTCAAGAGCTTTTAGCATTTCTGCTGTGATTTGATCATCTCTTGCCGTTTTGTTTTTTTCAGCTTCTTGACTGCAGCCTGTACTTCTGACATCTCTGTTCGAGCGATGTTGATATCAAGTTGGTCAGGTTCGCGTATTTCATCAAACTCTGGTGCTGAGGTAGGGCTGGGTCTGTTGAGGACTTCTTTGAAATGCTCTGCCCATCTGTTGTTCTGTTCTACCTCAGTTGTAAGCATTTTTCCATCTTTACTTTTTATTGGCCCATTTCCTGTTTTGAAGTTTCCACACAGGATTTTAGTCACTTGGTAAACAGCTCTGTGATTTCCTATCATAGCAGCAGCTTCAGCTGCTGGGTCTTCAACATATCTCTGTTTATCTTTCTTTGCTTTTCACTGCTTTGTCTGCTTTCTTGTACTCTCCCTTTACATTTTTCAATATTTCATTGGTCTTAGCATTCAGGAGTTTTCCGTTCAATGCTTGTCTTTTCTCAATAAGACACCACATCTCTTGGCTTATCCAATTCTTGCTCTGTTTACTATGACTGCTTCAGCTTGAATCTCATTGTCTCTGAGCGCTGCCCATTTTTCTTCAGGTCCAGTCGGTGTCACACCTTCTTCGGCCTCTGGCAGTGCCTCAGCTCTGTTCCTTAGTTCAAGGTTGAATTTCTCACGGTACTCGTTTATTTTCAGCTCTGTGCAGTTGATTTCCTTGGCTGCTTTCCGTTTAAAGTTGATCTGTGTCCATTTGAATTTTATTTTGGCAATGCAAAGATTCTGGTCACTGCTGACATCTGCTACTCAATAAGCCTTTGCCTCTTGGACAGATGACCTGCCTCTTGAGCTGATGCAGATGTGATCAGTCTGTTTTTTGTTTTGCTATCTGGTGAATTCCATGTTTCTTTATGTATGTCTTTATGAGAGAACAGGGTGCTTGCAAGAGCTAGATCGGACACCAAGTACAATTCAATGAGACTCTTGCCATTTTGGTTAATGATCTCTAACCAGGGCTTCCCCATTGCTCTTTCCCTTCCATGGTTATCGCATTCTACATTAGCATTAAAATCACCTATCACAAGGAGTAAATCCTGTTTTGGTATTCTATCAATCATACTTTGTAGGCAGTTACAGAACCTACCTTTATCCTCATCACTGTGTTCCTCTGTCAGCGCATATCACTGTATGATTGACATCGTTACAATTCTGGTTTGGAATGTGGCGCATATAGTGGTTGGTTGATAGGTTTCCGGTTCATAGGTGTTTTTTCCACTGAATCTGTCATAGTGAGCATTACTCCCTTTGAGTGTGTGTAATCACTATGACTTGAATAAATGAGATGTTTGAAGCACTTCCTATCCTCGTCTGTCAGTCTGCTGTCACTGATGCCCAGGATTTCAAGTCCATAGTTGTCCATCTGCCTCATAACTTGCAAGATCTTTGCTGTTTGAAACATTGTTCTCACATTCCCGTACCAACTTTGAAATGTTTTTTGCTCCCGGCATTAAACTTTTTGGGGTCTTGGCTTCCAGAGAGTGGTTTTCCCTAGGAACCTTCATGCAACATGTGGAGTTGGCAGTACTCTCTGCTGAGCAGCCATTTTTACCAGAATGGTAGCCTGGTTCCATTTTTATAATGAAAATGAGAGAGGGTATTTGTGTTTTATAAGGCTACATAGTAAGCCTTGCGCTCCATCCTCCCCACTTTACCTGGCTTGGGACCAGCAGCCACATCAAAGTGCAGCAGATGGGGTTAATTGTAGCAATTGTGCATGAAAATTAGGTGTATAATTGCATGCATTTTTGTGTGTGACTGTAGGGATTCTCTGCCTGTTATCAAATTAGGTTGTTAAACTGGTAAACCCCATTAGTCGATCAACCCGCTATGTTCCCTCACACATGCAGCAGAAGAAAAATGGCAAATGTGTTGTCCCTGTAACTTCCTAACAGTTACTTAGTGGAGCAACTGTCCACAAGTTGATTAGTACAAAGTGTTTAATAGAAAAGGAAGAAGGTGCAAAATTTTCAGAGGTGACATGTAAGGAAAAACTGACTTTATTTTATTATTGTATTTTTAAAACTTGTTCTAAATGGACAAATAACAAAACACCCTGATGATCTCCTATATTTTATTATTTTCAGGAGACCAAAATCAACTGTGTCCGACTGGCGACAAAAGGTATGTGAGACTCTTCCTCCTGGTTGCAAGCTTATGCCGATATGGTGGAAGCTACAATGGTGACACAACTTAATTACAATTATCACTCAAATAGTGGGCTTCATTTAAAGCAGGTGTGGGTTGTCCAGGCAACATGCCTGTTTCCAACACCACTTTCCTGTATGTAGGATCTGATCGGGTTAGCCTCCTAAAATACCAGTTTAGCTGCAGTAGCCCAGGCAGTGGCTTGGGCTAGCTGCCTGAGTGCAAAGGTCCTTGGTATGTATTTAGGTGGTTAGTCCCAGCTGCCCCTGTGATGCTGCAACCACACTGCTATTTTTAGCGTGCAAACTCAGTCAGAGCTAGCATGTGTAGGTCTACCCAAGCTGGGATTTACTCCTCCCAGCTGTTTGTTAGACGTATCCACAGAGTCACTTTGGGGGGGGGGGGAGCGTTTCTCTGCCAACATCTGGTGTGGTAAACAGTTTGTGTCACCATTGTAAACCCAAAGAGGATGAGCCATTTCCCCCTTCTTTGCTTGTGGTTCTGCTGTTGTGTAATGTCCCCTACCTCTTCTTGTTGTTTTCCCCTGTAGAGGTTCCTCATCAAACCATCATCTTAATTCCTATCTCTGGGTTCCAAACGTTCTGTGTGTCTCAAAATCTCTCTCCTCCCTACCCCATTACTTTATCTAAACCTTGAGTTACACGTCCATTTCAGATCATTCTCTTGGCTTTCTGGTGGTAGGAGGAGGTTTGGATGAGAGAGGGAGATAGGGACAGGTGAAAGAAGTTTGGGTAGAACAAGAAACTACATATACTTTTTGCCCAGAATGTGACTGGGGTGTCTTCTGAGGTTTAGAAAAGTCTGGATAACTTCATTTTTCAAAAGCCATAATTACTTTCTTTCATCTCTGTAATTCCTAGTTCTGGGACTGGATGTGGAAGTGCTGCAATACTGTGTTTATGGTCCAGATAAAAGCAGGGAGTAGCACACATTTGGCAAGGAAGCAAGCATTCCTGTTCTTGTAACGTCTTCTGGTTAGGATGGTCTGGTTAGGTTTGGATAGTTTGCAGTAGGTTTAAATAAGCATTTGAAGATTGAGATAGTTTTCCAAATGGATCGTGTTTTATTAGCCCAGTAGGCTATCAAAAGAGCCACCAGCTTACTTGTATTCTATCATTCTTGAATGTTTGTGCCCTTTTAGGATGAGAACTCTCGGATGATCTACATTAGTGACAGATATAATAAGGATGGGTAGAGCCACCCAAGACTCTAAAAGTCATTGTCTCATGGTAAACACTGTCCTCAGCACTGTTCTTGGTTGGCATGAATGGAAAAGAGCAGGAATTTATGAAAGTAATGTATAGGGCAAGTGCTCATTTTCTCACTCGTGTGTGTGCGCATGCTCATTCGCTCTCAGTGGGCATTACTTTTGATTTACAGGAAAGTGTCTTGTGTCTTCATATCTTGAGGGTTGGTGTTTTTTGGTGTTTTTCTTTTTTTTCTTTTTTGTTACATGTACTTTTCCATATGTGCTTTTTTCTTTCCTTTTTTTTCTTTGGCATGAAATGCAACTGTACATGTTTGAATGTCTGATCATGAGCTAGGGCACTGGAATATATATATCTATGGGGTAACTTTATGCCATACTACTTTGGCATATCCAAAGATACAATGTTGACTAGGACACTCAGGGATTATGTTGCAGCAGCATTAGTATTCCCAATGATACAACATTTTTTCATGTCTACAAATGGCACCTCTGCAAATAGCAGGCGAAAAGGGGGATTGCTCAGTCTGGGGGAGTTGAGCATACAGCCAAATATTCCCTGTCTGTGATTTAGAATCTCTCTTGTTATAAGGTACCCAAATGTCGTGAGGCTGTTTCTCCTCCTAGTAGTAACTTTTTACACGTCAATAGAACCATGCCACTATACAGCCATCTGTAAGAAGGGAGTCACGCCCCATGTCTGTAAACATATTGCACATCTCTGCTACTAGAGCAATAGCCAGGTGTATTTGCATAACTATAGTTACATTGTGATTAGGGTCAAAAAAATAGTCTCTTAGAATGGCGACATTTTACCCAATGTATCCCATCTTATCTTGAGCATCATCAGCAAAGTTGTCTGCTAATGTGTGACTACAGTGTCTTTATAAGAGGCAGACAGAGTAAAGCTTTCAGATTCCTGGCTGGTCTAGCAGCACTGGCAATTAGAAAGTCCACTTTTGACTTGTGTCATAGAATGACCACAGTTTGTTTGGGAGCTTGTGAGAGAGAATAAATGTGGGACTCTTTAATGTCCTTTTATAGACTCCCTTTTCAGTCTACGGCCTGATCTTACTTACAAATGTTTTACCCCAGAGTAATCTTATCAGCTTCAGTTGAGTTACTCCTGATTTACACTGGTGAAAGTGAGGTTAGAATCAAGACCATTAACTGTGCTTAAGTCTGGCAGATATTCTCTTAAACTGTCATTAACATGGGCAGTAAACTCGAATGGGAGAATAATTAAGCAATAAGACTTGACAGGTAGTGTGTTACTGGGAGATTATAGCACATTATAGCTGTGAGGCACCAGACAAAAAGCTGAGTAACTTTAATTACTTGAGAAGTTCAACAAACCATTCCATTGTCACTGTTCCAGCCGGACGAGGAGGGCATTTGCCTTTAAATTCAATTCTCTCAGAAAATTAGACAACCCTTATTAAACTGTTTTAATTTAATAAATAAATAAATAAATAAATAGGGGCACTCAAGATGCTTCACAGCAGACTAGTTTTGCCTAATCATATTATGGTGTCATTGAAATCTCTTGTTTAGCATAAAGATGTTCAGATTGGCCCTTCATTTTCATTTCAGCTAAGCTCTGTTCAGGGATTCCTTACTCGGAAAGAAGGAATTCTCTAGCGCACTAGCTACTAAAGGGCAAAGGCAGCTTGTGAATTGGGGGGTGGGGTCCCGGCCCCTCACCATCTCACTCGCATGCTGTGTTCTGCGGCATGCTCTTCCTGAGCATGCACAGTGCTCCTTGTTGGGTGAAATTGACCCCAAACAGAGGTCCAGTACAAGGCCTGTGCACCCGTAACATCCCGAACGGCTTAAGTGGGACTTAAGTGGTGCAAAGGTTTTATGCTAACACACTGCATTGGGATCAGTTCCACCAGTTAGTGCAATCAGCAGCACATTCTCCAAGATACAACCGGTGGAATTCTACTGTGAAAGGCAGAATTTCTAGAGTACATCTGCCACCATCCCGTCTCCTGCTTACAGCACTGTCCAGGGCAAGATTTGGCCCATCCCATAAATAGCGAGACAGGGGAGCTTAGACTCTCACTGGGCATTACTGTCAGACTTTGCCATGATATTGATGATCCATCAGAAAGCTTGGTGCATTTGTCTCATCTCCTGTAGCCATTTCATAATTCACTAATATGTTTTAGCTCACTAATTAACACCATTACCCTTATATATGCATTTATTTGCTTTCAGTGGTGTTGGCCTCAAATCTCTTACCTCAACCATCTATAAATGTCTCTCCACAAACAGGTTACTCCTCTTTTTAAATTGCTGTGTTTAAAAAAAAAGAGAGAGAGAGAGAGAGAGAAAGAAAATTATAAAAAGTGTTAGTCACCTTGGATGATTATTATTAGCATTTAAAAATAAACTTGAAATTAAACTCCAATTTACCAGCTCTCTGCCACACCGTTTTAATTCAAAGAGTTTATTTATTCACTTTGCCACTTAGTTTCCTTGATGGCATTCATTTTATTTTATTTATTTTAATTTGATCCATTCTTTTGGAATTAACTGATCTCCCTCTTCCCCAGCACCTAGTGCATATTTATATTGACACTTTCATTGAGAAAACTGCAACCCCTTCCTGAGAAGAAATGATTACCTCTTTTACTCTCAGAACACAATAAATACATTTCAACACCTAATTGAAACCAAGGCAAAGGGCTTGTTAATGGCTCTTCTTGATATTAATCTCTTGATATTCATTTCTTTTTTCTTTTAAATGTGAGTTCTTGCAAATTAAAAAAATGCGATTTTAATCATTAAGTGGTACATTTTTATTTTTATTTTCCTTTTTTTTTTCTTGTGCATGCTGCCTGGGAACTGTTTTCCTTGTTCTTAGCAGTACTAGCTAGGCAACAGGTGACCACACGAAACCCGCCCAGCCTCTTGAGCACAGGTGATTATCAATTCAGGACAAGGAAGATCATTAAAAACTTGAAGGAGTTGAGCAGTTTCTTGATCTTTTGTTTTGTATTTTGCGTGCATGGGGAACCCAATTTTGAAGTTACTCTATTATTTAAAGGAGGGTTTTCTCTTACATGCCACTCTTTTGCACAGAGGGTGAAATTCACCACTGTGCAGAGGGCCAGGACTAGCTACTAAAGGGCAGAAGGCCAAAGCAACACTTGTCCTCAAAATAGCACTCAAGTAGGACGTAAGTGGCGCATTGACTTCAAGTTGGCCCTCTCCAGCTGGTGAATGTCACCCTGAGTGTACTTGGAGATGTTCTCGCATTGCTGCCTGCAGTGCACTCAAAGTGACCGCGGCACTTCCTGGTGCTGGGTTAATGCACTCGCTTTTTACTTTGGAGACCTGGGTTCCATTACTATGTAGTGGGCAAGAAAAAAAACAAAGACCAGATCCTACAAGCAGTGTGCCAAACTTCCATTGAAATCAGTGGGAGTTTCACAGCATAAGCTTTGCAGAATCAAACCCTCAAACTGGTGGTCATGTCACAAAAATTACCACAGACAGCCACAGGAGAAGCTCAGAACTTGGCATATGTTTGGCAACCTGATTCTGAATGCATTTTCAGAGCTGTGTCTAATAAACTTGTACCCTCATGCCAGTGCTGTGTCCAGTGCTATCAACATTTTTTTGCACCCAGCAATGTTTAATTTTATCCAGAAAGTTTAAATGTAGGGGGGAAAATCCAGTTTCCTTCAACTTAACTTAAAAGACATGGGATTCAATATACTGGGGTGTGACATGGAGT